CACTAAAAGTGAGCCACCACAGACAATGGACTGAGGACTTCCAGCGGTTGCTCAACAGCTGTCCTTCCGATTTGCCTCTGACGACCGCCAGTTCTGCTAACCCAGAGGTTAGTTCAAATTCGCCCATAGAAGAAATTGAAAACATCGTACCACACTTAAGGTCGAAGAACGCTTGTAAAAAAGCTCCATGCCCTATTTCGTCAACTGTGTACCTCAAAATGTGTCCCAGACAAATGGAGGTGTGAGGTAATTTCGTTCTTTTTAATGGTGGACATGTGACCGAATGTTTCAACTATCGTGCTGTCACACTATTGTCATCTACCGTGAAACGTCTCTACGCGATTGCTTTAGATTATGCAAAAGCTGAAGCCAGCAGTTGATGGTAGATTTCGCCCAGGTTCAGGCTTCAGAACCGGGTACTTTAGCTCTGACCAAATTTTCATTGTTCGTAGAATCTTTGAGCAGTGCTGACTCTTCCAATTCCTCTGTGTGCCATTTTAATCAACGTTTCATCCAATTCACTGACCTTTTATGCGGAAAAACTTCAAAAGTTACGGAATACCTTAAAATGTAAATTGAAATGGAACATATCAAAGAACCGGAAGTTTTCTAAACGGAAAGTTTGCGATAAGTATTTGCTCTCAGTGTTAATCTATGGGTGCAAACTATGTACCCTAAGATAAAAGGCAGTCAGCTGCAGACTACCCAGCGTAGCATGGAAATATGTTTGTTGGGAACAACAAGTAAACATGGGAAGAGGAATGAATGGATAAGAGCACAAACAAGAGATTGCGATGTCATTGTTTGAGTTAAGAAGTTAAAGCGGTAATGAGCAGGACAAGTTATTAGAAAAATCGATCATCATTGGGCCAGAGAGACTCCGGACTGTGTTCCAGGAGAGAGTAAATGAATCGTAGGAAGACCCCCGAATCAATTCCAGGATTGGCTGAAGAAGTTCATAGTGTACATGGATAAAATCGCAGAAAACAGAAGTTTCTGGCAAAGTCTTGCAGAGGATTCTGTCCAGCTTTTGATCGAAAAAACCTGATTATAATAATATTAAAGAATTATGTTTCATATTAAAGTCGAAGCAGAGCCAGCTGAATGTATCCCTGTTGTAGAACTCACTGTGGGGAGATATCTTCCTCTTCAGTACTCAAAATTGTTCTCTGCTGTTTCCTTAAAGCACGGGTGACTGCAGAAAAGACAAAATTTTTATTCTGACAGCCATTCACAATTCAAGCGTGATTAGTAGTACGCAGATTTACTGTTATGGTCATTATTATTTGAAAGGATTTCTCTACATTATGCATTTCATGTGCGAAAGCCATTTTCTTCTTTATTCCGCTGAAATCAGATGTTATGAGGAGCCAATTCGATACAGCGGATCTATGTAACGGCACCATGCAGCAGGTTGATCAGTTTAAGTATTTCGGTTCCATCATCTCGATGATACCACAAAATCGTTGTTAAATAGGAGGATCGATCTTGCTCCAGTGTTGTTGATAACCTATCTTTAGGCTGAGAAAGAAGTTTCGCTTTCCAAAAATAATCCGCATCTACCTTTCATCGGTAAAGTCAGCATTATCTTGTATGGCACAGAAATTCGTTCCGACGACAGATCAGGAAAGGCGGTTAAATATCTGTCATGCTATGGCATTGACTTCGACGCACTACAAGAGTTAAAGTGTAAGGCAGTGCAAGGAACGACTCAAAGAATTTTCTTCAGGGCACAGAAGATCTAAGCAAATGTGGAGATTAAGCAAAAGAGGTCGACCCTGTTAGATTTGTTGGTTGAGCATAAACTATTTATTACACCTAACGAATTTTTGACGTGGGAACCGAAATCTTGCAGGCATCGACAAATAAGCCAGTACACAGCATAGCTGAAAAAGATAAAGGCAGGTTTTTTTGGGAGAGGAACTATTTCTTCTACATTGCAGTGTCCGGTATCTTACATCAGAAATTTTGAGAAGCTGATGTTGCCACCGATATGACAAACAAAAGATTGAACTTTATGATAATAACAGACAAACCATTTTATTGACCGATGGTGTAATTTAGCCTGATTGTGTAAACTGTTTATAATATCGGATCTCGCATATCGACGGTGGCAATAGACAAAACTGGTACAATCAGTAAGAGGTCGATTTCGAACTCGAATTGCGGAGGTGCCGAGTTCGAACCCTACATTGGACAATCTCTGTCTTTACAACGAATTTGCTTGTGCAAGGTGTTTACCACACGTTGATTCAGACCGCGGTTACTAAGTTGGTAGAGTGTCGGACGCAGAGCCGAACGGTCCTGGGTTCGAGTCCCAGTCTGGGTCATTCGTTTTACTTCCTTTTCGAGGTTGATAATTCAGTACCACTCTGAAAATTGAGTGGAAAGGAAACAGCAAAATAGGAACTATGTTATTCACATAACTGCTGTTGATTCTGTATAGCGGCCAATGACGGGCAAATAGATATCATCCCTCCCACGATTAACTTAATGCTACTAAGGGTGCTAGGATTGGCCTCATCATGTAAGTGTAATGAAGACCGACTTTCCAGCAGTTACAAACTTTCCTATCATCCTTTTGAAACCAAATTTGCATGTATGAAGCATTAATCCTTATGTTGTTGTCTATGCGATTAGCAACATTTTCTTCGTCTGCTCTTTAAAACGATTGGTGTGAGATGTGCGTCCAACTTCTCATCTTAAATTTAGTTCAGTATTTAGTTGCTTGATAAAAATACTTCCTGGTCCGGACTGAATGGCATAACGCTGATAACTTGGGTAGAGTGATATGGTGAGGCTTTTCTTTTTGTGAGTAAAGTTGCTGCTAACTTTCGACTTGTACTGCGTTTCGTTTAGGATTCAGAACAGAAAATGAGGCTGCAGCTGACTGCGTGTCAAACACTGAACGAACGGTACAAGATGGAGCTTACTGCCGAAAGACTGGCGAAAAGTGACGTGGAAACTCATGTCACTAATCTCAGTGAATCTACTTCCAAACAGGTCGAAGAAATGTCCACCAGCGTCGAGATTATATGTAATCGGTACGAGGAGCTGGAATCATACTTCAAGAATGAAATACGGCGGTTGAACAAGCACATCGATCAGGTGCTGATGGGCAGGAAGGAAGCTGAAGACCAGTTGGCTGCGTTAAAGTACGTTGTCCTCGTTGTCCACTGCTGAATCGTTTTGCGATTATACGAATCATCTCATTTCCTCAATGCAAATGGCTGTGGGCGTAAAAAGATATTTTTGTCACGCCTAAAGCCATTTGCTTTGAAAAGGAGTAAGAAGATTTACAACCTTGGCGCGTTTTGAAAAATGATATTCTGAAAACAAACCTTCAATCTGTTAATTTATGCTTTTCGCCATTTACAGTAAGTGACCATAACCAGCAGTTGTTATTGTTCACCGACCCGTTTGGTCACTGGCAACTAGTAATGTGTATGTGTAACCGAGGAATATTTGAAATATGCGACTCAGTCAGTTGTTTCTGGTTGTGAGACTGTCTTTTGACGTTGTCTCTGACCGAGTATTTCTAGAAACGTCTTTAATAATATAAACGTAGCGGCAAGTATGCAATTTAAAGTATATCTGCATTCTTGTAGTTACTAATAAAAATACTGACACACGGCGCGACTTTGGTAACAAGCAGCAGAAACGAGGTTCCTTCGAATGATTGATTGCTTTTGTGACTGTAGGCTACACAAGGTTCCAGATGCGGAAATAAGTGAACCGTTGTAACTGAACGGCTCCTGACCTGTCTTATGATAGTCCTGACACGGGATTAGAATGCGAAACAGGATTAGCTGGACGATTCGCTTCGTAATGCCGCATGACAGGCGATCATGAGACAGCCCAATGGCAGAATGGATTTGATGCTTTGAACATCTGCCGTCATATGCCCTGAAATCTGGAGCGTGAAGCCTGCGTATTTGACTGAGGATTGAGACCGCTGGAAGAGTCTATTAATGCACTGTGAAAGATTAGCTACTGATTTGATTAGTAGATAAGTTGTACAAACACAGTGAAAACTTCACGCAAAACATACAGCAGTTTCAGAAGTAACAGCGGTGTTGATTTGAGCATAAGCAGTGGTATGGTACATCTTTTGTATTGACCATCCATTCGCGACTTTCTGTTTATGAAATCATAATCAAAAAGGTTTATTTTTGTGATCAGTATCTTCTGGGTTCATACTCCATTCATCAGAAAACATCAGAAATTACTTTTCTCACGTTGTTTATGATTAATTATCTCTCAGCCTTGGTTACTTGATCTGCAACTACCTATGCTTAAAGTCAAAAATTTGGTTCTCTGATATATTTCGGTTTTACTATTAGCAGCGGTCTATCTGATATGTGTAGGTTGAAACTTTCATCGCCAAGACTCGAAATCACGGATATTCTTGTGACGGTTTTGGCAGGTTTTTAGCAGTCCCAAATGTTTGCGCATGTTTATCTATATCATCATATTTGTCATCATTTCCTCTGCGGTTCAGTAATATTCTCGGTGTTGCTGTTCTCAAAGTCACTCGCTCCTCTTCCGTCTGAGTTGATAATTGACTGCCATTCTGTGGGAAGGACATAAGAGACGACGCTACGCTTTCCACTAGAAGATGGCTGTAGACTGAATATTTAAAGCTTTACTGGCTGATAGTTTAAAAACGGATATCTGCACAGCACCCCATCAACTTCATGAAAGGCAGTACTGCAAAATGAGCGAATCATGAAACGGAAGGGAGACAGACGACGTTAATGAAGAGGAATCAGCGTTCTTCCTCGAAATGCGTTGCCGGATTCGACCTATGGGCACTGAAGAATTATTAACACAAAGACGGGATTATTACTGACGCATGACATGAGTAAGGTCTCTGGAATACTGCACAAAACATGGTTTATTTATACGCAACGCAAACAGTATGGCTAATTGAATGACTGACAGTACTTAAGTATCAACCCGTGTATCATGGACCTTCTTCAAGTTTGAGCGATGGGTTATCGTCAGAAGTCGTTTTGTCGTTCACAGCAGTTTGCATGTTCTGGTCTGGAAAGTATTGGTACCGAACGTCAGTACTGGCCAGTAATCCAATTGGCCTGATTGCTTGCGTTTTGTGTAAGGTATATTTTCTGTTATTTTCAGTAAACCACCATGGATGAACCAAATACTCAGTATCTCCTGAGTGGAAAACTATTTTTAAATTCTGCTTATCCGTTGCGAAGAAGGTTGGTCGTTGTTGGTCAGGACTGAACAAGTTACCTGGTGGTTTTTGCATTAATTTAAGTGTACCAAATACTAAACACAGAACGGTCATTCATTGCTCATTGACTTATCGACTCGGTAAATCTTCTGTCACTTTTTTTTCTAACTTACAAGACTGATCGAACAGCGTTGTTTACGGCCATTAATGCATGT